CTGGTGGGATTCTGCCGTCCTGTTTTTTGTGTGCGGATTTTGGTTGTGGTTTGGACCGTCGTTTGCGCGCCCCTGCTCGGAGCCATCCGTGTCTGATGCTTTCTCGAGGGCGTGCAACGCATCTTCTCGCGAGGGTTGGGTGCGATGGGTTCTCTGGACGACATTGCGACGCGAGCAATTTTGCTTATTCGTGACGGTCCTCCCATTCCCACCAGCCCATCCAAAAACAATTACCAGGAGAGTTGCATCGACCAGGGATGCGTAGCAGCATGCAGTCACGATCGTGACGCCTCCAGGGGAGTCATCTGGGGCTTCGCGGGGCCTTCTGGGGGCCCTGTTGGGGCCGTTTTGGAGGCCTTTGCGGCTGTTAGAGCCTTCTTGGGTTGTCTTAGGGGCCTTGGTGTGCCACTGGGGCCATCTAGGAGGTCATAGATTAAAGAAGGGGGTTTTCCATTGCGCCCCCCCTTCCCTCGGAGGCCGAATCTTGCCTCTTGGGACCCTGTATGGGCGCTCGTAGGCTTGTTGGAGCCGTCTTGGGTCTCGCTAGGGCCCCTCTCGGGGCTCGGTTGGGCCCTTGTGGAGCCATCTTCAAGCCTCAAGAACCCGTCGGAAGCGAAAATGCGAGAAATCATCAACACCCTCAGTTCTGTCGGTTTCTCGAAGACTCTGGTCTCTCGGGAGTGCCCTTGGGAGGCTCCGTGGCCACTTGGAACTGTGTTGCGGCGGTCTTGGGGCGTGCTGGAAGCATTTTGGAAGCTATGGTGAACAATTTTGGGCTATATTGTGCGATCTTGGAGGCCATGTTGGGCTAGCCGAAGCCCTCTTGGGGCCAGGGACAAGCCTTAAACCTTCCAGCGACCCGCGGAACGCCCCCTCCAGACCCAGGGGGGGGAGAGCAGGAGAAAAGATGAATCTCCCCCCCCCAAAGGACGAAGGAGGTTGGAAGGACTAGCTCGTTTAACCACATACGCCCAGAGGGCTGGTGCGGTTCGGTTGCCACTGTGCGTAACGGTTTTATCATTTGTTTTCTGTCAATCTCTGGCGTCGGGACCAGCACGTCGCAAAACACGCATTTGGCGTCCGGGCGAGGAAGGCGCCGCGCGCGCCTGTGGCACCGATCGCAGGATGCCGCCTCGCACGCCCTCGCCCCTGCTTCTGTGATTGCTCCTGTTCTGCCATCCCTGCTGTCCTCCCCGTCTTCCTCCGGGCATCGGGGAGCCACAGCGGGCCGACGGGTCGGGCCGCCGGGCCGCCTCCTGCTCCGACCTCCCCCCCGCCCAGAGGCACTCCGCGCACGCGCGGCGAACGTCCAGGGACTGCTCCGGTGAGCCGGAGCAGCCTTCCTATGGTCCCCTGCGGATGGATTGCCTCTCTGGGATCGGGGGGATCCGCCCCCGGCGGCTCCCGCGTACCTGTGAAATGGCGTCCGCCGTGGGTGGAAGAATGGCGTCCGCCGTGGGTTGAGGAATGGCACCCGCAGTGGCTTGAACCATGGCGGGATGCTTTTTCAGGGCCCGCAGCGGTCGAATCGGGGCTGATTTGTTGCACCGTTTTTTTTGCACCACAGTTTGCGCACGAGTTGTCGCACAAGTTGCCGCCCGGTTTCCCACGAACCCGAGGGAGCAGATTTTCACGCACCAGCGGCCCCGGTGCCCACGGGTCGGGGGCCCCCAAACGGTGCGGTGACCACACCGTGCGGTGAGTCGGTGGGGATTCGGGGTCACCGCACGGATTTTGGGGCTCGAGTTCTTCTCCGAGGCTGTCTCGAGCGACGGGGGCCTCCAGGGCCCCAAGGCCGTGCGGCGACGGACCGTGCGGTGAGGTCTTGGGGGCTTCGAGGTCACCGCACGGTCTGTCACCGCACCGTTTCGGGACTCCCAAAGCGGGCCGGACGAAAGGGGGGGATTGGGAAAGGGGGGGTTACAAAATTTGCTGCATGCAGCTGGTTTCGGCCCCGCCGAGGGGCCCATTCCTCGATACATGGGCGCCTCCCGGCGCCGGGAGGCGCCGGAAAAATCAGCTACGTGAGCTGATTCTCAAACCCCCCCTTTGCTATCCCCCCCTTTCGCCCGACCCAACCAAAGCGGGGGCGGGCGTGTCCCGGTCCAGGGAGCAAGCCCGCCCGTTGGGCGCAGCCAGGCATACCCCACCCGCCAGGCGCCACTGGCAGGCCGACGGCGCGGGGCGGGGTATGGGCAGGTGCGCCGCGCTAGTGTTAAGTCGGGCCTGTCCCTCTACAGGAGGGATATTCCCAAAGAGTCAAAGAACAGTCCGAGGACGATTTGTTGAGTATGTTTTAACTATGTGGGAGCATTTTCTGACTACTTTTAATTTTCCGTCCAAGATCCCCCTGCAGGGGGACAGGCCCGACTTAATGCTAGTGACCCAGTTTGGCGTCCCTGTCCTAAGGGTCGAAGACTCAGAGGACGATCAGGGGTGGAAGAACACGAGGGGAAAAGCAGGGGCGAGGGCGTACGAGGCGGCATCCTGCGATCGGTGCCACAGGCGCGCGCGGCGCCTTCCTCGCCCGGACGCCAAGGGCGACTTTTGCGACGTACTGGTCCCGACGCCAGAGGTTGACAGTTAACAAATGATAAAACCGTTACGCACAATAGCAACCAGGGCGCCAGGGGCGACTTTGGCGGCGCCGTGGCTCCGACACCCAAAGGGGGAGGGAGGGAGTGAGAAAGAGGCGCACGAGGAAGTACATGTAAAACCGTTGCTCGCAATCGTAGCCGAATCCACCAGCCCTTGAGGCCTAAATCGTTTTGCGAATTATTCATTCGAGCCTGCTTCTTCTCGGGGGAGTTACCTCTCCCCCTAATTCCTTTCCTATGGGGCTGTAGAGGGCATTCTGCGAGTCGTAGGAGGGTCCAGAATGGACCCATGACAGCCTCAAAAACCAGCTTACTCAAGATGGCCCCCAAGATCTCACAACATAGCCCAGCATGGTTCAATCTAGCATCCAACGTGCCTCCAATAACCCCAAAGACCGCCCCAACATAGTTCTGCCGACCCGCAGCCAACCCAGAATAACGGACCCACGGCAGAACACCAACAACCCCGGTTCCTGACCCGGCTTCGATCCCAGCGCCCACCCAAGTTCCGACTCCGACGACGACGCGGTGCAGCTTACGCGACGCGGTGCAGCTTACGTGACAGAGGGCGGACAAATCTTGACCCCCTCACACATCAAGCGGCACGACGTCGAACACCACGACTTCGTGCACACGGCTCCTGCGCGATGTCCCACCTCTGGACAGCATTGGGCATTTCGACAGTGTGTCGGTATCTTTGTTGCCCAGCATACGTGGTGACACGATTCTGGCCGACTTCGTACCATGAAGTTCCTGCCACGTTTCCCCGATTGATGCTGACAACAGACGACACATGAGACGCGGGGGTGGACTACAAAATTCAACATCACGTACATAATCACGAATCAGTGCATTACGGTCGCGAGCAAGGCGACGATGAGCAACCCGTTGACAGGGACTCTTACATCAACATACGTGTGCGCTGCACGACGGGTACCCCCAGTACGACGGTGTGCAGCACGACGTTCTCAGGCAGCACGAGGACGACCAACACGACGGAACGCAGCCGCAGCATACTGACTCCTGCACCCACTGCAGGGCAGCGCGGTCGCCACCAACACCACCGCAACTACTACCATTCGTGTTGCCACCACCGCTGCAGCTTCCACCATCGGCGCCCCTTCCACTACCAGAACCCGTGCTTAGCAGACGCACCTCCACTCCAGTTCCGACTCCTGCTCCGACGCTGGCGTCGGCTCCAGCTCCTCCTCCACCGACTCCGACCTACCAGCGGCTCAATTCAATGCGCGACCCTAGCGCAGGGATTTGCGCTGCTGGATCCATGGCGCACCGGTGCCGCTACCCGTGCCCGTCACCTCGCAGCCTCCACCCTGCATGGGGACGGCCACCAGCAATCTTCATCGTGGCTCCGATGGTCTTCATCAGCCGTAGCGCCAGCAAGATGGGCAGGGAGATCGTGATATTGGGGCCGGGGTACGACTCTATGATGGCGACGGTGTGAGCCGCTCTCTTGCGCGTCCCCTCCTCTGCGTTCCTCCTTCCTCCTGCTGCTCCTTCTTGTCCTTGCATTGCATTGCGCGAGTGCTCGTGGTTATTCGCGGTTCTCGGCCTGGCTGCGCCGAAGCCGGGCTTCGCACGAGCATCGGCACCGCTCTGGATTGAACAGGGGTCGGCACGCGACGGCCGGCTTTGGCGCCCCTCTATCAGGAGGGGAGAAAACACACAGACACAATGAATCGTCGATTCCCCAGAAAATATGGGAAAATATGGGAAGTGGGGGGGAAGACGAAAACCCAGAAAATCGGGGAAACTATGGGGGAATCCTGTTATTTGTGTGTATTTATTTGTGTGTCCCAGGGCCCCTTCATCCTGGTCCTTCCGTTTTGCCCACGCTGGCAGGACAGGGCGCCCTCAGAAACACCCGTCCCTCGAGAGTGGTGCGGCTGTACTGGCGGGGCAGGGTTTCCTCATGGGTGCTTGTCTCGCGGTACAGATTTGAGCGCTTCGCATTTCCCGGCAAAGCTCGGGCTTTCAAGTTCCTGTCGTCGCGCACGGAGCTTGGTTCATATTTACTGATCGGCCGTCATGCGCCCAAGGGTCACCGCACGCGAGAAGCGAAAACAAAACAATGACCCTTTGGAAAGGCCACAATCATTCAAAACCCGAAGGAAAAAACAACTAGTTGCTACTATCTTTTCGCACTTTCGCTCCCGACGGGCTTCGAGGTTTCAAGATGGTTCCAAGATGGCCCAGTCGAGCCCCAAGAGGGGCCCAACACGGCCTCAAGGGCGCCCCCGGAACGCCCTAGCAGGGCCCCAACAGGCCATGCTTCTGCCCCGAAGGGAAGGCGTGCTTGCCCACCCCTCCTTCTTTGATTGATGGTCTCCAACATAACCCCAACAGCCCCTTCAAGGCCACCAAAACACCCCAGAAGAGCCCCAAAGTGACTCGAGAGGACCACACATCCGTAGCCATTTTGGCTCAAGCATTCGGCCCAGGCGCAACTGAATAAAGCCTCCCCGAGAACGCCCCAGCTTGGTGCTCCTGAGGAGCCATGCCGGCTTTCATGGGGATCAATGGCTTCGGCCGTATCGGCCGTCTCGTGACCCGTGCGGCGCTCCAGAACCCCGAGGTGGAGGTAAAGGCCATCAACGACCCGTTCATGGACCTTAAGTACATGGTGTACCAGCTGAAGTACGACTCCGTGCACAAGAGCTACCCTGGCACCATTGCCACCAAGGAAGCCGACGGCAAGGAATTCCTGGTCGTTGACGGAAAGGAGATCGCGGTGTTCCACGAGAAGGATCCGGCGTCCATTCCGTGGGGCACCGTGGGCGCCGCGTACATCTGCGAGTCCACCGGCGTCTTCACTGCCAAGGAGAAGGCCGAGCTTCACATCGGCGGCGGAGCCAAGAAGGTGATCATCAGTGCCCCCCCGAAGGACTCCGTCCCGATCTACGTTGTCGGCGTGAACCACACGGAGTACAAGACCTCCGACACGGTGGTGTCCAACGCCTCTTGCACCACGAATTGCTTGGCCCCGCTGACCAAGGTGGTGCACGAGAAGTTCGGCATCGTGGAGGGCCTCATGACCACGGTGCACGCGATGACCGCCACGCAGCTCACGGTGGACGGCCCGTCCCGCGGCGGCAAGGACTGGCGCGGCGGCCGCTGCGCCTCCCAGAACATCATCCCCTCCTCCACCGGGGCCGCCAAGGCCGTGGGCAAGTGCCTCCCCGCCGTGAACGGCAAGCTCACGGGCATGGCGTTCCGCGTACCCACGCCCGACGTGTCCGTGGTGGATTTGACTTGCCGCATCGAGAAGGGCGCGAAGTACGACGAGATCGTGGCCGCCGTGAAGGAGGCGGCGGCCGGTCCGATGAAGGGCGTCCTGGACTGGACGGACGAGGAAGTTGTGTCTACCGACTTCGTGAGCTGCAAGGCTTCCTCCGTTTTCGATATCGGCGCCGGCATTTCGTTGAACGATAATTTCGTGAAGTTGGTGACCTGGTACGACAATGAATGGGGATACTCCAATCGCCTCGTCGACTTGTGCTGCTACATGAGCAAGATGGACAATGCGTGAGCCCTTGCTTTCTGAGATCGAGAGTCTGGCGCCCGTTGGGCATCTTACCAGTCACAATGCCTCGAGCTTGTGGAAGGAAAAAAAAAAAGTGCCTCGAGAGGACCACAAGGCTTCCAAATTGACCCCAAGAGGGCCCCATAGCCTCACGATGCATGTAAGAGGATCCCAGAGCGTGACTGCATTCTGCTACACATCCCTGGTTCGTGCAGCTCGCCTGGCGATTGATTTGTATGGGCTGGTGGGACTACGCGAAGCGCCAAGAGTTGGTCACCCAAGCATGACTTAGCATCGTTTGGAAGCGCTTCCAAACAAACGAACAAAGCCACATGGGCTAAGTTACTGCAGCCAAAAACATACACTGGACTGACTACGGCTGTGGAGGCTTCGCAGCCGGCCGCACGTTTGCGAATAAATCGCCGTTTTGACGCGAGGCGCAATTTGTTGATGACCATTGTTCAGGACGCGTGGTCTTTCAAGTTTCGTTTCTGCAAGACCCTTGGTTGTTAGATTTTTGGGGAACGTCCATCCGCCTCCCTCGACCATCCTCAAGGGTCGAGGGCAACATGTTCGGTCAGGAATTTCTGCTGAATCAACACGTCGTACCGCCAGTTCTGTGCCACCACACTTCGATTACATAGGGAGGTTAAGGTGAGGAGGCAGGTGATGGGAAGGACGAGGGCGTGTGGGACTGGAGCCAGGGCAAACGAAGAAAAGGGAGCGCAGCCAGCCTCCTCCTGATTTAGCCAAGTGCCGCAGCTCGTGACACAGCCTGCACGGTCCCGCTGCAGCGTTTCGGCCTTTTGCAGTCCCGTGACCAGGATGGTAGCATGCGTAGGGGGGCGCTCCAGAAGTAGGCCCGTGTCTTCCAGGTGTCGGAACGTTGAACGTCTTCCTCGGCGGAAGGCCTGCGGAGGTGGGGCGAAGTGGAAATAGGGCGGCTCTGCCAGCGGAAGTTGGCGCAAGCACGAATCGTTTCCCCAAGAGATGCAAACTTGTTTTGGTTCAAAGTTCCCGGAACGGCGGACCACATGTCTTTCCAGCAGGCCCCCGCTTGTGTGTGTGTGTGTGTGCGTGCGTGCGCGCGTTCGTGCGTGCGTGCGTGCGTGCGTGCGTGTGGGTGGATGTGTGTGTATCTGTGTATCTGTGTCTGTGTCTGTGTCTGTGTCTGTGTCTGTGTCTGTGTCTGTGTCTGTGTCTGTGCGTGTCTGTGTGTTTCAGCTTCCTGGTACCTCCCACTGGCCTGGTTTTATGGTCTGGGGCTCCACGGCCCTCAGAAAAGCCATCCGACGAAGAAGAATAGTTGCCTGGGTGCCACGGAGCCTCCTTTCCGAGCTTTTGATTGTGGCGCCACTTGTCCTTTCGATAGCGCACAGCATGGCAGTTTGGGGGGCGGCGCGAGGAAACGAAAGAACTCTGAAGCCATGACAGTTACTCTGCCTTTCTCGAGGGGAAAGTGTGGAACGCCTTGTAGGTTCGAACCTCAGCGGCTACGGAACGCGCAACAGACACATGATTGCATGCACAGCTCTCTACGGCAAATCCTGCGAAACTATTCGTATGCCGAATCTGCTTACAATCCGGTTGTGTCTGGGCCGCCGTCGTCGTGATTGGTCAACGACCCGCCAGTGTTTGAGTCGTCTGCGGCGTCGTCGTCTTCGTCGTTGTCCTCACCCCACCAAGCCGGCACACAGTCAATCCCCGCACCCCTCCCGCCCATGGCCCATCTTGGCCAGCTTTCCGATCCGTGGAGAACGCCAGCCTCCAGAACCGCTCCAAAACCTTGGAAACGACGTCGCCGCCGCCGCCGATGTCGTCGTCGTCGTTGTCGTCGTCATCGTCCGTCGTCTGTCGTCTGTCGTCCGTCGTCCGTCGTCCGTTGTCCGTCGTCTGTGTTCCATCGTCCGTCGTCGGCGTCGTCGTCGGCGTCTGCGTCCCGCTAGCGTTGTTGTTGGCCTCGGCGGCGGCGCCCCAGTCCGTCGTCGTCCGCCGTCGCATGTCGTTGCCAGAGCCGCCAGCGCCGCCGCCGACGCCCGCCAAAGCCGCCGCCCTGAGTCGTCGGCGCCAGCGCCGGCGCGCGCGCTCGGAGCCGATCGGCACGGTTTGGCGGTTCACAGATGGGGCCTTGAAGATAGGAAATGATCCCACAGGTTGGACTCATACTGCCCGGGGCGAATTCTTCTGCCTCCGAGGGGAGGGCGTGCTTTGTCCCCCCCCCCCACTCTTTGATGGATGGCCTCCGAGAGAACACCAAGAGGCCCCTTCAGGGCCACCAAAACCCCCCAAGCGAGCCCAAGCAAGCCACAAGAGGGCCCCACGAGGGCCCAGAAGGCCTCCAAATGGGCCCTAAGAAAGCCTCATCCCTCGTCCTCGGGGCCCCATCCCTCAGGGACCCAGCTTGGAACCGCCGAGCGGTGAGCACCGCCCAGGCGTCCGGCACTCTTCAGGGCTGGGGCGCGCCGGCGCGGCGCCCCGCGCCCGCGCCGGCCGCGGCCCCATCCGCCTCGTCGGCCGAGGCGCCGCGCCCGCCGCCGACCGCCACTGTATGCTCGCCGCCGCCGTCGTCGCCGCCGCCGCCGTGCGCGTCGTCACCGTTCGCTGACATCCTCTTGGGGAGCAAGCAATCAGTACAGCCAAGACGCTGAAATAAGGAACGCCTCGGGTGCGGAAGGGGCTCGCTGTTCCTTAAGCTCTTCCATGGCTCATCCTCCATCACTCCTCGTGCACCTAGGTTTTCTGGGGCCAAGAAGGGGCTTCGTTCCTTATTTTAGCGTTCCTTCTGACAGTACCTCGACTGTAGCGGGCGAAGGACGGCATAACAGAAAACTTTTCCGCCGTCGGGGACGCTTGCCCCCCTGCGCGGCTGCAAAGCGTATACCCCCACGTGGCACCGTCGGGGTGTAAACATTGCAGCCGCCCGGGGGGGAGGCGTCCCCTGACGGCGGAAAAGTTTATTCTATACCGTCCGTCGCCCCTAAAAAGATGTAACAACTCGGAGGTACGCGTCGATTTCTTGGATCGCGCCAGGGAGAGGGGTCCAGCGCCGATCCAAGACATCCGCGCGGAACTCCGAGTTTGTATGTTGATGTCATCGCTTGTTTCCCGAGCTTCACGTCGTGGACAACATCACGACCCCCAAGCACGTTGCCCAGTCCGTTCGGGCGCACTGGGCAACCCCAGGGGGGAGGCAGCCCACTGGGAAGCTTCCTGCCGGTGTCTCTCTGGCTCGCCGTTGGGCTCCATCCCGCGGCGCCCGCGCCGCGCAGCAGTCGGCTCTGGCGCGGCACGCTCGAGGGTGGCAGGGGGCCAGCGTTAAGTCGGGCTTGTTCCTCTACAGGGGGGATATTCCAAAATAGAAAAAATAGTCTGGGGACGATGTTTTGATTATGTATTGACCATTCGGGTGTACTTTTTCTGAATATTTTCATATTTCGCCCAAAATCCCCCTGTAGGGGGACAGGCTCGACCTACGGCCAGCGGGCCCCCAATTGCACGACGGGCGTGCTTTTGCAATTTCCAGCCTCTGGGATCTTTCGCTGGGCCCCGGACCGTCCAAGAGCGACTCGGAAGGAGAAGCCAGTCCTGGAGAAGGGGTCGATACCTTTTGGAGCCATGTTTGGAACAGAAACACGGCGTCGGATGTTTGGTTTCGCGCCCCCAGATTTCCGACGCTATGAGTTTTGCAACCCCGGTGTTTGATTTTGATGTTTCGGCCATTGGTGCCCATTATCGGGCCCTGGGGGCACAACAACTTGAATTGGGGCGCAAAACACCCTCCGAGAAAAGGGTCGGGACCCTTGTGGCTGCGCGTTGAAGAAATCTCGTCGGCGGATGTCTGGATCGTCATCGCCGTCGTCGCCGACGCGCGACGTTGCCGTCGCCGCCGTCGCCGTCGTCGCCGACGCCACCGTGCGTGAAACGAACGAGGGCACGATCGGGATAAAGTCGGGTCGGGGTTAATCGAGCATCTCAGAGATCTGGCGGTCCTGAGGGATGCACCGGGCGCCACAGCCTTCTCAAAGCGTTCTGGAACGCTCTTTGGCGATTCACCCCGATTCTGGACCCAATTTTGTGGGCGTCGTCACCGTTCGCGTCCCCGGATTTCCGATGGTGCGATTTGGTCAAGCCCCGGGTTTGATTTACATGTCGGCTTCGGGGCTGGTTATCGGCCACTAGGGCCACCGAAAGTGGACCCTGAGAGAACAGCCACCGAAGATGGGGTCGGGACCCATGCGGTTGCGCATTGATGAAATCTCATCGACGGATGTCTGGGTCGTCATCGCCGTCGTCGCCGACGCGCGACGTTGCCGTCACGGCCGTCGTTGCCGTCGTTGCCGCTGTCGTCGCTTGCCGAGTCATCGCCGCCGTTGGCGTTGCCGTCGCCGCCGCCGTCGTTGCCGCCCCAGCCGCCGCCGCTCCTCATGCCTGGCGGCTTGCCTCGCTCCTTCTGTGCCGCCCTTCGGGTTTGTGTTGAACGTGGCTGGTCCCTGATGCGCGCGCTCTGCCCATCCGAGGCCACCTCGATCGCCGACAGGGCGCTCCGCGCAGCAACCGGCCCCAGTCGCCCGATCGGGAGCCCAGCCGTCGGCGGGCTCGACCAATGGCAGGACTCGGTGGTGGTGCGCGGGGTGCCGTGCGCAGCGGCAGCAGCAGAGGCGGCAGAGGCGGACGCGGAGGAGGTCAGCCAGGCGGTGTTGTGGGCAGCAGCGGTGGTGGCAGCCAACCCAAAGCCTGGGACTGTCCCAAGTGCGGAGCCAAGAAGAACTGGGGCTCCAGGCGCGTTTGCCGTAGCTACGAGTTTGACTGGTGTGAACAACGATCTGGTTCAAGCTCGTGGTGGAATGGCATGTCGCAATGGACGCCAAGGAACGCCACGAGCTCAACCAGTTGCGTCGCAAGGTCAAAAAGATCCAAGGAGATGCTCGCGCAGCTTCAGGGGGCGATGGAGGCGCAGCAGCAGCAGCCCACGCCGCACCGAAGGACGAGAGGGCACGGCGGCTCGGGAAGTTGCGGAGCGACATCAACAACCTCGAAGGAGTGGAGGGCGCAGCTGGAATACTGGCGGGCAAGCGGCAGGAGGCGCAG